TTGTATGTATCTTTGAATTTGCGAGACACATCTCTTTCCATTTTTGCTTGCCTGGCCTCCGCGTTGGTGCCTACATGACTGATGTGTTGATATTAATATCCTTAATATTCCGTGTAGCTTAATTCTTGGTGATTTAGGCTAAGCCTCTGATTTGCTGAACTGGATGTGCTTCAATAAATTTTAGAAGCGAATTTCCGTTGGGGTCAATTAGAAGATTCACTGTAGTGATCAAATTTAGTACGCGATGTTAATGGGTTAACTCGAGTTCATTGATTGGACTTCACCGATAGGCAGCAATTGGTCCTGTGATACTGTATTTGTAATGTTTGACGGAATTGGGATTACTTTAGGTGATGACGTTACTACTGGTCCTAGCGCTATTTTTATTTTATTGAATTTTTGTCGTTACTCTCACGGATCTAGACTTAGTCTTCACCCAATTGGAGTCGGACAAGTGAGCTGTCCTACTAATCGTCGGAATTTTCATTGGTTCATAATGGTGCTGCTAAGGGGCAATCATTTATTGTAATGGGCGCTACCGTTTCACTTTTCTAGCTGTCAGATAACGGACTTCTTAAAATGGTGTTGAAATATTATTTTCCGTTCTTGATGCTTTTCTGGTTTACTAACGAAATCCTGAAGTCATGCCGATATTGTGACTTTGAGGCTGCGATGGTATTGTTTGGTACTCCTACACATACATCACCTTGTCTCTATGTGAAGTTGTGCTAGCGTAGGGCAGCATGGTGAGACAAAATTTATTCTATGGGCTGTGATTGAATACACTCGAGTGACGTGTAGTAAACGCTAAACCTGTATACTCGAGTGATGTGTAGTTATTTTTGGCATTGTAATTTCTAATTATGGGATTTATCACGTTCTACTTGTTTGGCAGGTTTCTTCGGGCCTGTACCCATGCTTTCAGCTTTCAGAAGGTGATTGTAGAGGGGGAGGATGGAAGAGGAGGAACATCGTGGAGTTGTTCTGGTATGCAGCGTCTGTGGGTTCCTCTTCGCTGTCCTTGGCCCTCTCAGCTTTTGGATTCTATGGGCTGTGAATTGGAGGCCATGGAGGTTATATAGGTATGCTGGTGATTGAATATACTTTTTTGCGAGGATTATGCTTTTATTTGCATGTATCATTTGTTTGGTTCTTACTTGGGATTAACTAATAATCTGCTATGTTAAATTCGTTGTTTGTGCACTCTATTTTTTCCTATTCAAATTCCATGCATTTTATCGTTGTGTACCATTGAATGTTGGTATTGATATA